CTCAGAAACTGTCCCATTATTCAGCCTAATTAATATCTCCTCCCTAAAATCAGAGGCTGCAGGGCTTGCGGGCATTAACGTAATGCTGTTGTGTTAAGAATAGCGCCATTTTAGCTGCAACTGCGGTGGAACAAATCAGGATGAAATCTAAACATTTTATGAAGTGGTGTGTAATAATAGCCCACTTCTCATCATTAACACTGAGTACAGATGTGGTGTGTAGTCCATGTATAGGGTAACCTCGAGTTAACCACGTAACCTGCTCAGAGCAGTTTAGAGATGCAGCGTAACAGACCTCGGTTAACACCGATCCACCTTTTGTAGTACAGCTTAATCGGGATAGGCAGAAATACGGTGGGGGACGGGTCCCCCCCCTATCTGAGGGGTGTAACCCCCCCTAAAAAACATTAAATAATATAATGATATATACTTAGAATAACTGTGTAAATACTAAAACAATACAAACGCAAACAGGGCAATTAAAGTGCGTAGAAACAATTTGAGTCCCCCTTCCCTTTGCCTCACAGTGGTTTGGTCCACTGCCTGCTTCCCCTTATCAGGAGTCCGGTCAGAGAAAACCAGTTCAAATCCTTCAGTAGTATGAGGGACCAAAAATTAAATATCTATAAATGAATAAATAAATAAATAAATGCAGAAATAAATATATTTTTGTAATAAAAAAAGGCTATTTCTGTATTTCTATATTTATTTCTGTTTTTCTGTATTTATTTATGCATTTCTACATGCATTAATTTATTTATTTCAACATTTATTTGTGCCTGTATTTCCACATTTCCACATTTGTTTTTCCCTGCGCCTGTATGCTAATTGAGTGGGTGGTGCCAGCATCACTCTGAAGCAGGATTGGTTAGCTGGGGGCCGCATGGCAAAGCAGACAGGCAAGTGATTCATCTACATGACACAAGCCAGCTACACAGTAGATTCCTTTAGTCAAACATATTCAGTGTCAAAGTACATGGATTATTCCATGGTTATTACAACAACACCTAGAGTAAGATTTTTCCGCTGTTGGTGTAGTTTTTTGTATTTAAAAGACTTAGTGAAAGAATTACTCCGGAAAGCCCTGTCCAACTCCTTCTCTGGGATTTCAACCTTCAACCAACAGGAATTTTTACTGCGCCATTTTCCTTGTCGAAAGTCTGTGGTAAGTGTCTCTAAATGACTTATTAAATCATTGTTTTGCATTTCAATAGAAGCCGCATTGTAGAACAACTTAATATTGATGTCCACCTACACTGCAGCTGGCTGTATGTCTTAAAACACAGCATTCCAAAGGGTGAACGTGACAAAGTTGATGGCTAACGTTAGCTCCAATGTGCCATTAAATTCATGAGCAAAGCCCTTATAGGCAAAAGTACTGTGAAGTCCAGTTGGTAAATGCTCATTACTATAAGTGCAATAAAACCTTTACACGTAAAAAGCCTTAACTTAATCCAACCTGCTAAACTATCTTTGAATTTTTGAGAGAAAAAAGCATTTAATGCAACACAGCAGAAGGACCATAACGTAACTTAATGCCTTTAGCTTTGCTAGCTAGGGATGGGGATCAAGACCCGGTTCTATAGGATCAGGTTCCAAGTTTCTCAAAACCCGAAAGTTCCGGAGCATAACAATAAATACAGCTAATGTTTTCCAGTCTAGCTTGTGCTTTGATGCAGACCTTATGTCTGAGACTGTCATTTAAAACTGATTTAACTTGAAACATGATGAATAAGAAAGCTAATGTTATTAGTGCTGGCACAGAAACGTGGTCTTAAACTGGCCCGGGGCTACAGCGTACTGTTCAGGCTGCAGCCTCTGCTGCTCTGTATTGGCCTAGTGTTGTGTCGTTCAAAGAACGTTTCGTTCACTTGACCTAATCTTGTATGTGACTCAGGAGGAACGGGTTGTCTCATTGAGTAATTCGTTCATTTTCACGAATACATGAATAGTCTTGGACTCTTATGGTGCTTTCAGACCAAAAGTGATGCGAGTGTTCGGGGCGGTGAGTTTACATACAAAGTCAATGCAAAGACGCGTAGTGGTGCGTTTTCGGGCGGCGCGAAGTGACGCGAAGGGGGCGGTGCCGGCGACGCGAAGGAATTCGCGTGAGTTGAATATTTTCAACTCAAGCGAGAAATTCGCATGACGCTGCCTATCAACGTTGAGATTGTCCGTACGCCACCTACAGCTTCAGAGTGTTGTGTGGAGAGGGCCAGGCAGAGCGGGCAATTGAAAATCTGTTGGCTGCCTGAGAGCTGCTAAACTTGGGCTAGAGGAGCAGGGAGCAGCGCTCCAGCTTTCGTACAAATAAACACCCGTGGTCGGACAGGACTTTGCTCGCAACTATGCCATTTGCTCGAGGGAGGAGCTCGGAGTAAACTGCTTTTATTAAATTAGCTTTTTACTTTAGTTTTTAGGATTACAACGTTTATTTATATTCACTCGAGCTTCTCAGCAGCTATGTGTATGTGTATGTAACTTTAGCCCAGCTATCGTTGTACTTTACTGTGACCAAGTTAGCATAGCATAGCCCTGATCGATCCGAACTCCATTCAGAAAACAAACATTTTTGAAATTGATGTCCTGCTGTCTTGCTGACAGACCTGACAAAGCATGAATTCCTATGTTTAACAAATCTGCATCATGTTGTAGTTATTTCGGCATCAGTTTGATCCGCTTATTGCTATTTAATCACAGCAAAAGGTTTACTTTGGGTTTATACAGCTGTAGTAATGGCAAGTTTTGTTTATTAACGTTATCGCATTAAAATCACCTTGTGAACACTTGCAGCGAATGTACTCGCGCGAGGAAAGCGTCGCGAGGCGAAAATCCGCGTTTGGGTCTGAATGCGGCATTACCTTCACTCGTCACACTGTAGCTGCATGGGCTCCGTCAGTATAGGAAACAGAATTGATTAGTTCACGACTCTCGACTGTGGGTCTCTGGGTTTGAGTCGTTCATTTGTCACGTGCTCGCTCGGCTACAGGGCTGTGGTTAGCAGGCAGCACAAGAAGCAGAATTGATTAGTTCAGGACTCATACTACTGTGGAGCAGGAATGAACTAATCGTTCACTACTCACATGGGTCCCCTCCTTGGAGTCTGTCTTCATTTGGCAGGCTGAGTAACTGCCAGCACTGGGGAATGAGAGGCAAGTCGGTTGTCAGGTAACAGTTACTCGACTGATATCTATTTTGATAATATTATTACAATTGACAAAGCATAACGTTATTACAGAGCAGTGATGTTGACATAGTTTTAACACAGCTGTCCCGTAACTTTAGTCCTGCTAGTGTTTACAGCTAACAGCAGATGAGAGTTGTTCTGGGTCACTCAACTTCACTGACAGGGTTCTACCGGGAGCCCAATTACCACAGAGGTAATCTCCTCTCCAAAACAAACGGACCCGATCATTAAAACATTAAAACACAGCCACATAGCAACGTTAGTGTTAACCCTGTGGTTTGTTTACAGCTAACAGCTGATCCAGTCCAACAGGGAACGCAACCTAACTTTTCCTTTTTATTTATCAACAGAGCCCTGCTGTTGTTTCACAGCTCTTGACTGGGCCACGTTTCAGAAAGCGGGATTAGTGAGAATGTTGAGCCTGAGATGAGGGAAACTCGGGGTTTTCCGTTTCAGAGAGCGAGATCAGATAATCCCTAGATCAGTAACTCCGGCAACTGATGCTGTGAACCTAACCTTCTCGGATAAGTTGGAAAACCGTCAGTTTCTCTCTAACTCCTCCCCTCCTGCGAAGCCTGAGGCGACTGTCTGACCATTTCATTTTCTTATTCATTCTGTCGATATCAAAGCACATATCTGAACGCATATTACATCTTTAAAAACTTTAAAATCCTGGTTAGATAGGCTATTAGTTTTTTACCCAAACATGATCTTGAACATGACTGCTTTTATGATCAATCTGTCATTGATGTATGGACAGATCTTCGCACATGGTGGATTTTTCCTCAGCCCAGAATAAAATCTATGTCTGTCTTTAGGTTTAACGCTGCGACTCTGTGGACTGTTGCACTGAAAACACTTACTGTGGGCTACATTACTACAGTAATCACTGTTTAATATGTAGGCTAACCTACAAAACTGATCAATGAACAGTAATCTTTCATATTGTAGTCGCACTGATTGGAACATTCGTAGTTGTTGTCATGTTTTTGTGTTTTGACAACATTAATAAAATACGAAATGAGCAAGATTTTATTAATGTAAAATAGACGTCAGTTTGAACCTAAAGACACATTTTCACTGCAAAAAATAATTAATAGGCTAACCTGCTGGGTGTGACTGACTTTACAAATCACAGGTTCACAAGTAAACTGTGTCTTATATTTGATCTATAACCCTGTCCTTCTGTTTGTCTACCCCCAGGTTTTATTGTCATAATCAGGTAGCCGATTGCCACCGGCATTTAGTCCCGTTGGATTACAGCTTAATAAATATAGCCTTCCTATTTAAAATGTAATGGGCTGTAGCACTTTATCATTCATTAAGGAAATTCCAGTCTGGTAAATGATGAATGAGCAACGCTGTGTAGTAGCCTAATAATGTTAACGCATTGATTCTTCTTCCACTCCAAACTGCGTTTTAGAGCCTATCAGGGTCCGCGCTGGTACGCATTCATATTTCTAGCTCCACCCGATTAAAATGAAGGCCCTGCCTTTATTTACCCGTTGCCATGGTGAATCGTAGTATCGGAGCTCCATTGATTATGGCTTTTTTCCCATCCCCACGCACATGCTTCAGTCAGACTCAACATACTCAGAGTTGATTGAACTCTGAGATTGAACTGATCAGCTTGTTGTGGTGGCAGCCCGGCTGACAGTGAGTGTCCTGCTTTTTTTTCTCCTTTTTTCCTTTTTTCCCTCTGCTCCTGAGCCCAGCCAACGACCCGCACCTGCACCTCGTCAGCCACCTCCTCTGCCTGCCACACCTGCCAGCAATCAGCCTCATCTCCAACAGTACTTCTACCCCGGTTCTCCACTCCATCGCTGCTTGATCGTCGTTGCTCCTAACCTGGTGCCGCAAGTTCACTCAAACTCCTGAAATCTCAGTAAATTCTCTCATTTCTCCCGCTCTTGATTCTTCCCTGTGTCACTAACCCTGTCCTTCTGTTTGTCTCCCCCCAGGTTCACTCACCCTCGTCCTCTGCCAAGTCGGCTGGGCTCGCTCACCTGCCCTCTCTCTTTGGGCTTCCCCCCACGGCGTCCTCCCAGTTCTCCCGTGCCTCCTTTCTTCCTCGCCCCCAGTGTCCCCCGGCTCTCTGTTCTCTGTCTCCTCGGTTCCCCGTGCCTGCGCTTCCCCAACATCCACCTCTCCCTCAACTCCAGTCCCTCAACCCCTTTTTCCCCCCCAATAAAACCTGTCTTTCTTGAGCGCTGCGTTTGGGTCCTCTCTGTCCACGCCACACCACCGTAACACAGCTGTTCTGGAACTAAAAATTCAGAGTTTTCCACAGGCCCTCAGGCTCAATCAACCCAGAGCTCAGGGATAAACTCAGAGTTTGTTAAGCCTGCTTTCTGAAACAGGGCTCTGGTGAACAACCTGGCGGTAGTGTTTGAGATTATTATTACATTTGTTACATTTTAATAAGAGTGTGTTTAATAAAGGGTGTCAAGCTTATTACTTCAGTATATTCCATGTAAATTGGTGTGTTGGATGTAATTTATAGATTTTACCCATAGATAGGGATGTTTAGTCTGCTGTATGAATGAGCTCTTTAGAGATATAAAGATGTAATTATATACATTGCTGGTCTGGTAGTATCCTCAGGAAAGATTGTGAAAATGGACAGATTTAGCCAGAGTAGTGGCTTAATTGAATATTGACATATTTCTGTGGTTTTTACATGGTTTGAATTTGGCTGTGGCTCCATGGGGCTTTATAGAACCATGATAGAGAAAGATCAAGAGGTGCGTTATACTTTGTTAGAGCAAGCCAGACAGCCTTCTGTGTTTGAGAACTGTGCTGTTTTTTAAAAAAATCGCCCACTAGAGGGCTGCAGCCTAGCACCTAGTTAAAATGAACGAAATGACACAAAAAAAGATTAGTTCATTTTAATGAACGAGATTTGGTGACTCGAATCTGTCAAAAGAGTGACTTTTCCCATCACTATGTCGGCCCCTGCGCGCGCGCGCGCACACATACACACACACACACACACACACACACACAGCGGCCAGCAGAGGGCGAGGCCGCAGTGGTGACTAGTGATGGCAAGTTTTTTGACAGACTCGTTCATTCAAATCTCGTTCATGAAAATGAACTAATCTTTTTTTGAGTCATTTTGTCCATTTGATCTAGGCTGGTTATTGCGGCACTGCAGTAAGTCAGCCTGCCGAGTGAACGAAAGACTGAGGAGGACCCATGTGAGCAGTGAATGAGCTGTCACGTGACAAATGAACGACTCAGACCCAGATACCCACATTTGAGAGTTGTGAACTAATCCTCTGTGTGTTATACAAGCACAGCTAACGTTAGCTTGGCAATTAGCTAAATGTTACAAACAAGCTAAATTGAAATCTGTCTGTAACTTTAACTGTTTAGCTTAGTTTCCACTGTACCTTAAAATGTGGCACTCTGCTGTAAACTCAGCTGCTGGCTGAGACGAACCAGCAGCTCTTCTCTACCAGTTAAGGTTACCTGCTGGCAGTAACGTTTAAATAACTGCAGAGAGAGGAGGACAGGGGAAAAGACTGAAACTGACTGATATCTTCATTCTTTGTAAACATCACTAAGTACTGTGGTGTGAGATATCGACTTTATATTGACTTTTCAAACATTAATTTTGCAGCTCTATAAACAACATTTAGTTGTATTTAGAATATTTAACACAAACCCTATATTGAATTTAAAAACAACCAGGCAGCCAATATGCGCACTTCAATATTTTTTTTAGGGCTGCGGCTGTTAACGCTGGTTTGAAGTCAGTACATCAGAGAGCAGTAACTGTCTGTTGTGGTAATGCTAATAAGTTAAATATTTTATATATGTATACACACACACACACACACACACACACTTTTATGTGTTTGTGTGTGTAAAATCATGTTTCAAAACAGCTACTCCTACTTTCTGCCATAATGTAAATATTGAAGCTTACAGTGTGCAAGACATTCTCATTGGTGTACTTACAGTATAATGCACAATTATTCTAAATATGGCCAAATGCAATAAGTGAATTGCAGAAGCTAGTTTTTTCGATAAAGGTAAAATGTGTCAGGTATCACTGAGTGTGTTTCAGGGTATACCCTTTTGATTATCTTGAGCATTTCACATGGGAGTTTGTGTTTTTTCCCTAAGCTTTCATAGAGTTCTCCATCACAGCTGGCAGCGGAGGCATCAGAGTTTATGATGAGAAGGGGATGCAGACGTCTCTGAGGAGGTAGCACAGCAACCCAATGCTGTTGTATTTATTATCAGATCTTACAACGGTAAACTTGATTCCCATTTCTTTCAGATAAGACCCAGTTACACTTTGGTTGTGAAAAACCAACAAATGGTGTTTCTTTGTTCGCTCCTCCCTCTCTCTCCTGAACTACACTTAGATTCCAACCTCTTCCAGCTTTTCCCTGTCCACCAGGCCACTGCTTGATGTCGTAACCAACTCAGCACTGTACGTTTCAGCTTGTGGCTCAGATGTTACAGTCATCCTGGATGAGGAATGAAGCGCTTCCAGAAAACGAGAGAAGGCTGATAATGATGTCAAACATGTAAGTTGATGTGTAAAATGTATTTCTTGTGAGAGCCCCCTTTGCACAGTTTTTTGATGGGTAGCTATTTCTGTAGGTGTATTTACTGTAAGTTGTTCATGATTATTTATTTTTAGTGAATATTGTCTTGTCTTCTACTCCTTTCACAGTTAATTGAATCTGCACTGACCAAGTAACCTGGTGGAGGTCGTATCATCAAGGCGAAGAAAGCTCTGACAGACTCCTCACGGCAACAGATGGTTAAAGGATAATCTCAGTATTTGTAAACCTGGGCTCCATTTTCACATATTTTGGTGTTGAAATGACTCGTAGGTACATAAAGTTTTAAATCAGTGCAGTAGATGGCTTCCAGGAGAAATTCTGTTTTTAACAGGAAGCTGAAATCTCAAAGAAAATTCTCACTCAATTTTGTGAGACACATTCCACACAAACACACAGCAGGCACACTTTGGCATCACAACTCTCTCAGGGCTTATTTGGTAGATTTTGGTTAGAGTTGATTGGTAGATTCCAAATAATGGCATGATAATGACGTTTGTTATGGGCTACAATTCTTCCATGGAATACACTTTAAACAAACATTTTTACATTTAGATTTTACATGTACCATGTCTTTTAACAACAATTTCTCGAGAACACTTCCTCTTATAACACCTCTAACTCCTAACATCTAACATGCACTTCCTGTGCTCTTCTTCTTCTTCTTCTATCCCCTACAATTACGTTGTATTGATTGCACTTTTTGTTAACTCTAACTTCTTTCCCTAGGTATTTACCCCATTGATGCGATATCTGCCATTATTGCTTACTAACATTTATTGCTGCTTTTATTAATATGTATTGTCAGTTGTAGATCTTGTGCTGTATTTTATGCTCTGTTAATGATTGTATGTTGTTCCTCAAATGTAAGTCGCTTTGGATAAAGTGAGTATAAATTATATGTGTTAGTGTAATGTTATACCATTAAATAAAAAGTATACTGGTAATATATGCAATAATGCATTACTGTGATAATGCGTTTTGACCAGTGGCCATGTTGCCCCGACCACTATCTTTAGCGCCCCTAGTGGCAGTGACCAGACCACAGAATTGGCTACAACCCACTCTCCAGTGAAGTCAAGACAGTAGTAGTAGATCTGATCACATCGCTATAACCAGTCCTGCTTTAGACTGATGTTGGCACCACCCACTCAATTAGCATATGTGCACAGGCATAAATAAATGTGGAAATACAGAAATAAATAAATGTAGAAATAAATATATAAACATTTTTTAGAAATAAATAAATAAATTTAGAAATACAGAAATAAATGCATGAAGAAATGCATAAATAAATACAGAAATAGCATTTTTTATTACAAAAATACATTTAATTTTTATTTAATTCTGCATTTAATTATTTATTTCAGCATTTATTTATTCCTTAATAGATAAGTCATTTTTGGTTATGGAACTCCAGTAATGTTAAGCAGGCTGGCAGAGCTGTTTTATGCACTTTAAACATTGGATGAACTGATTCTTTTGTCTTTAATAGGCCTACAGATGATGTTGAGTCATTAATAAATTAATCATGACAAAAAGTTATGATAACCTATTATTTTTCCATGAGCCCACTCTGTTATTATAACATTACCTAGCTTATTTGGCAGCTTGTTTATCAGCTTATTGGATTGTAACTCACCTTCTACAGCTAGAGATGCGCAGATTGATCAGCTGGGGACTGAAATATGCCGTTTGTTTCGCCTACTCTGCTCTGACCAGTGACCGGGGCCGAGCAGTGTCAAATATCCAATTTTCTGCCGGTCACATTGAACGTTACAAACACGCTGCGCAGTGTTTCACACGTGTGCACAGACAGGACTGTAAGCTCATGTCACAGCCACGCACACAGGCTAAAACACGTCTTAGGTGTGTTGTAGTTATTCACGAGAGTGAAGAAGACGCAACGCTCACTACATCTGCAGAGAAACACACAGAAAGTGACGCTGTGGATATTGTAAAGCAGGGAGCGGTTAAGCAACAGTGAACACTGCTGTTGGTGGCGATGTCATTCAGACCACGGTGGTCTCTATCGGTAACAAGCCTCCTCCACGCGCGGCTCATCTGCTGCTAACAACTAACATCAGAGCAGACAGAGACAGACAGACAGGTGTAGGTGTGTGCTTGCGTGTCTGATGGGAAAAGCAAGGTGAGCAGATTACTGTAGTTTGTGATTTAAACAAAAATAAACTAGAGGATTAAGTGGAAGTAAAATGGTGTGCAGTTTATTTTCAGCTCCTTCCAGTGAAAATGCTCATGTTATTTTATAATCATGTTTCATTATGATCATACTATTATTTTTTCCAATAAATGGTTAAAAAAATGTTTGTATATCCTGTCAGTTCTAGATCTTAGAAAGAAATAAAATCATAATCGGCCAAAATTAGAATCGGCAGGTCAGACCTTTTAAAAAATCAGTAACTGGAATCAGCGAGGAAAAATGTAATCTGTGCATCTCTTACTGCAGCGATAATCCTGTGTGTGAACCGATATTAGGCTGATACCCTGTTCTGTTGGGTTTTGTGCATTATGATGTTGACAGATCAGTTGGCCTGCTGCCGTTAAATATCTAATATATAGCCTATGTATAGTAGTAAGACCTCTCTCTGTGTACACCTATCCTA